AAAACTTTTTTTTTTTTTTTTTTTTTTTTTTTTTTTTTTTTTCTGATGACCCCATTGTTACATGGTATCACATCAGCTTGTGTTTCTCCTAACCTGTTGTACAGAGTTTATTGGCAAAAAGAATTTGCTTCATGACAAGTGAAACTAGCTAGGGCCATGTTTGTTATAATGAAGTTTAGATCAGTACTCATTTTATTTTATTTATTTTCCATTTGGTCCTGATTCCTGAACGGTTATGTGTGGATTAAAGAAAGATGAGACGGCGGAAAACAAAATGCAATGCCATCAAATTATTATTGTTTGAATTGTTTTTATTGAAAGAAATGGAATAAAAGATTATGGATTTTATTCCATTTCATTGCATTCATTCAATACTTTCATTTTTCTTTTCTTTGATTTCAACATACGGTATCACACTATGTTTTCTTAATTATGTTTATTGTTATAAACATAATTAAGTATTGTATTTTTCATTATTTTGTTGTTGTAGGTTTATTGTGGTGGAAGTTAGAGTTGTGATAATTGTGTGAGAGTTGGTCTAGAGAGGATTGAAATATACAAAGTAAATTCTGAGTAATATATATAAATTTCATAAGTTCATAATCCTCCTTTATATATATATATATATATATTAAATATTGAGTACCTAACTTTTATTTAATGTTACCCTTAGATAGATATTGCTCTTTTTTGTTGCTGCTTGTGTTATAAGTTTAGGACACATGGTGGATTGTTACATATAAGATAAAAGTACTTTAAGATTTTACAATTATGAGATATTGTCTGTTTTGTATTTAAGTTCTTACGGTTTTATTTTTGATCATCACTTAAAAAACCTCTTAATTATTCGAGTATATATGTGTTTTATAAATTGTTATTTCTTTTCTTATTTTATTGATATAAAACTTGTTTGTATTCTAACACATGTTAATTACAAAAGAAATATATAATTATGAGACTTTAACAATTTGATTTGATGTCATCTTTATTCCGATCAAGTGATCATATGCATGTTGTTTGTTTTGCAATATAACGGAAAAATTCATTGCTTCTCTAGTATGAAAGCATCATATAATTTGATTATCATATTATTTATATCTTTACATGATTGATGTCTATATCAGATGTTAGAATTAAGTAGGGATTAGAAGCCTAGTATAAGTCAAAATATGAATTAATCTGGTCTTGAGAGTAATCATATTTTTCTTTTTTCATTTTTTTATTTTAGGGATACAGATTTCAAAAGAATCAAAACATGAGACACGCAAAGACCAAGACATACATAGGTCATTCAACTTATAATATAGATAGTACTTTTTTTTTAGGTGTCAATAGACACCTACTTTATAATATACATTATTTATTTCTAGACAGAAAGTTTTAAAAATTCATATCTATATTATATCTCGTAATTTGTGTATTGTGATTGTTTTTAAAATATGATAAATAATAAAATTATATAATAATAAATAATTATTAAAAATATAGATAATTATAAAATAAAACTTATAGAAAAGAATACAAAATTTGTAATATGTAAAAAAAAGTAATTATAAGGATAAATTTGGATAAAAATCGAGTAAACCAAAAAATTCAATCCCTTTTATCTATAAGGGAATCGAAATATTTCATGATTCTATATTTTATTTAATAAAAATATTTAATTATTAATATTAATTAGATTAACTGATATTATACTTAATCTTTAAATCTTAAAGTCTCAAATTTATATTTATAAGGATAATTAATTTTTAATATTATTTTTTATTATTTAAAAACTTAAAAATAAAATTGCCTAAAAATTGTGTATACTTAATTTAAGAATATCTAGTGAGATTGAAGTACTACGTACTTTTATATTTGTTTAATCTGCCTCTTTCATTTTGTTTTTATTTCCCGCTCGTCCTTTAATTTCTGTAACTTTTTTTTGCAGAATTTAAAGAAAAATAAAGATTAATTCTATTATACTCCTCCTCTAGCTCTGTTAAATAATTAATAAAAAAACAAAGGTGTTAGATTACAGTGAACTACAGATCTCAACAATCGTTATATGATGTCTAACACCAACGCAAAATTGTTTAACAAGCATCTAATTTATTGAACATCTCAAACACAAAAAAACTAATAAAGAATAGAATCGGATACCAACAGAGAATAAATGAGCCCAATTGCCCAAATACATTGTTCATCAACTCATCAACCTAAAAGCTAAAGTTACATTTTTAGATCACGTTCAGATAAATTCTTTATAAATACTTATAAAAAAAGAAATCAAGGGTATAAAGTTTGAAAAGTTTAAGGAATGACCAAAGTATTTATTCATTAACGTGTTCTTGCAATTCCAATTCCAATTTCTCGTCTCTTACTGTGTCCAGATGATGGTCGCATTTTCCACCAATCAGGAAGTTAAAAACTTGCCTCAAATTTCCTCTGGATGGTCGAGCATCTGTTGCAAACTTGCATACATATACAAGCCTTCGCTTCATATCCCATTTAGTGGCTTGTGTTGCACTGAAGGATTTTCCATCATCAAACGTACCTTAAAAAATAGGCGCAAACAACAGAGACAGATGATAAGTGATAGAATTAACCATGATCTTCATAAAGCATCAAAGCTTTCAATATTCAAGAATATACATGCACAGAAAAACCTATTTTGAGCAATTAACTTCACCTGGACTTATCTATTGCTATCAAATATACTCTCTTAAATATTGCTTGGAACATCATGCCTACTTATTCCAGAACCAATTTAAGCCTAATGACTTTGCGAGTTTCACCATGATGGACATGTAATGGAAACAAAATTAAGTAAAAATGCTTTATAAAGAAATGGAATGCCTACATTAGAGGTAGAATTATGACGTAATTTACTTCAACATCCTATGAGGTTATTTACTCTATTTGACAGTCAATTTTTCAGTATTTCAGTAAAAAATATGAAAATGTCTTCGCCCCAACTCCAACTCCTCCTCCTCTCTTTCTTCCTCTCAAATTTGATGTGTTTAAAAACATCAATTTTACATTGATTCTAACAAGTATCCTTGAAAATGGATATGATGAATATGCAACATTTTGATGTGTTGATTCTATAGTATGTCAGAGATGGGTTTCTTAATTAATCTTTTGTAACAATAACAATGTGAAATATACACATACACATATAGATATGCGTACCTTTTTCATCAAATAATGACATCAAGATTGCTAAACAAACACATACACTAATATCTTCCCCTGAAAAGCCAAGAAAAATAACATATTAGTTGTTTGGTACAACACACAATAATTTGCTTTTACACTACCAGAATGTTTTAGAAGGATTAAGGAAAGGAACCCCAGAGATTCAAAATGATAAGAGTTAGATAGAAGAAATAAGGATACAACAATAAAAGTTGAAAGGGTAGTGACTTCTGAACATAACTGAACACATTGTTAAGGTGCTTTGTATGCAGGAAAATATCATAGATACACGAAAACAGAAGATAAACCATACATGGGTGTCCAAGATCCTCATGTTTGGAGAAAGTTACTAAATAAAAGACAAACATGGTAATTTGGATAAAGAATTCCAAGAATCCTAGATGAAGATTTACAATGGCAAAACTTGTTTTTACTCTCTTTTGATGAGGGAAGGGGAGTAATTGAAATGCTTAAAAACTGCTGGGGATGGGACTGCTATAGAGACAGTGCTATCAATGACAATTGAACTGTTTTCAATCTATAAACAGACCAAAGTGAATGAATACATGTCATTTGGTTTCACACAAATCATAATCTACTTACTTAATAAATAAACAAAGTAGACAAAGGGTACTTCAGTTTAGAGCCATTACCATTATTACAACAAACTAGAAGTCTTTTTCCCCGGCTGAGATTGAACTTTGCAAAGCTCACCGCTTTAGGAAGATTATTTAATAAACAGAATCGATCAAACTTTGAAGTCTGGCCATCAAAGATTAAAATGAGCAAAAAGTTCCACACAAAAAAAAAATAACAGTAATACTAAAAGCAAGAGTTCCTTTCACTTATACTAACCACCATTGGAAGATGCAAATATGAGTCATCACTGGGAAGACAGACAGAGATGGACTCCTTATCACAATTCAATATGCAATCAACATCAGTAGCATCTGCAGCTGCACCAAACATGGTCGCTGAACATAGCCAGATAACTTTTTTGTAGAAGAAACTATGCTCAATGATGCTGCTTATCAAAAACAGACTTGACAAAAAGGCAACCAAAGTATGAATGTACTATAAATTTACCAACCTATTTCCATTTTACAGACCATCTGCTTTCAAAAAAATGTGATTATAAACTCAAAACAACATGGCATCCTCAAAAGAAATGCACCAAAGGATTATAAGATGCCATCAATTAACTAAAGCATACCAGCTTGAGCCGTGCCAACTGCCAAATTAGTTGAACCCAACCAAGATATTCCAAAATCTTCCGAAGACTCGTTGTCAATTACAACATTTGAAGCATCATAAGTCACCGATGATTCTTCATGTGAAAGAGAGGCTGACTTAAGGGATTTAACTGTGACCTGTGGCACATTTTCTCCCCTATAAGCACGGGATACTCTACTCTTTTCAACCATATCCGCAACCTTCTGGTTACACACATCAGGACCTGAGTTTATAAGATCATATACATGTTTCCAGAAAAGCCCAGGAGATAAGCCCCTAGCCCAGCTTTCTTCGTCATCTCCAGCACCTGGTATGTAATTCCAGCTGAACTCAGATGTAGTCCTGTGTTGGCTTATGCCAACTGATGAAGATGCCGACACAAGAATGATGGGTGTGAAGTCCCAAGATTCATGGTGAGGTACTTCATTTAACCATATGACAGTCTTCTGTGAAATCCAGAGAGGGCGCAACGGTTTCCTCAAGCAAGCAGCAAGGGAAGCAATATCAGCCCCACTTGCTTTCAGTAGCAGAGTCCATTCCTCTAACCGCTCCTCAATGGAAGCTCTTTCGGTTTGGGAAACCCACAGGGAAAGATGCAAGGAGCAATCCCAATCAAGAGCACTTTCATGACAACCATTAGAATCCTATTTTATGAAGACAAAGCAATCAATCAATCACATAGCTGGAACATTAACAATTTAATATAAGCAATAATATTGGCTAAAAAAACAGTTTTGATCTCTCATCTTATTTTTTATTCAGTTTGGTTTGTTAAGTTTAAGGGCATATTTGATAAACTGTTCTGGAAGTACTTTCGGGAGAAAAAAAATATGAAGGAAAACCAAAATAAGTTTTTAAAGTTAAAATCAACTAATGTACAAGTTAAAAGTAAGATTTTTGGAAAAACTTATAGGAGAGTTCGTAAAAATTAGCTTATGAATAAGTTAATGATTTTAACTTGTAGTGAAACTTTTTTTTTTCCTCTCTTAGAAGTGCTTTTGAATAACATTACCCAAACAAATATTAAATTGTCTGTTTCCATTAGACAAAGTTGATTTTTTTTCACCATTGTATCATGTTAAACAGGGTGACATATGACAAACAAAGTGAGATGTGCCTCATCATATAGGCAATTGTCAAGAAACTAACATCCCTAACTGAGAAAAGTAGCAATTAATATAAGATGAAAGACGAAAATTGTATTTAGCTTAGCAATAATGAAAAGTGAAAAGGCATGCACTCACACGAAAGTCCCTAATGGCACGATTGAAAACACAGGTCCAGATGGGTATAGTTTTGGACATGCTATCAGGGAAGCGCTTTCCTCTCCGAGTGGAATCAACGATGATGCAGCCACCCTTCTGCCCTAGCAAGCACCGACCCAGATGAAAAATCAGCAGAAAGGTTACGTCTTTGAAGAGTGTGAATGAAAAGGAAGCGTACCGGCGAGTTGGGCGACGTGGAGGTTGAGGCGTGCGGTGGTGAAGGAGCAGTTGTTGGTGTGGCCGTCGGTGGATTTGAAGTAACAGGTGGTGTGGAAGCGGCGGGAGTACCAGAGGCCGCAGCGGAGGTTGCCGAGGAGAGGGAGCTGCGGCCATAGCTCTGAGATTTCAGAGACGAAGATCGAGTCCTCGTATATCGATCTCAGTGCGTTATACAAACTGTTGTCTCTTCGCTTTATGCTTCTCGCTGCCTTGTAAATGCTTTGCTTTGCTCCTTCTTCCTCTGCATCCATAACTACTTCTCTCACCTATGGATCCTCTAACACAATCGAATCTTGTCTTGTCTCCACTTGTTCGCAAAAAGGAAAAAATGAAATCATCACCCATTGTTGCTTTTTCTTAATTAATATCGTTTAACAGTGTAAAACAGTTTTAAATGTGTTTTCAATTATAAATCATCTTTTATTATTTTATTAATTTTTATAATAATTATCTTAAAATTTATATAAATAATAATATATTACTGATTGAGAAAAAAAAAATTACACTAAGGTGCATTACCATTAAATCCTTAAAATATTTACCTTTTATTTTTATATTTTTAATAATATATCTATTAGTTATTTTTATACTTATTTTATATACTAATTAATATATAATAATATCAAATATAAGTCTAGGATTAAAATTCATATTACTATCTTATCTAGATCTTGTATATTAAATAATAAAATGAACTCTAACACAAAAATAAAATGACATAATATAATAAAATTAAATAGTTATAAAAAAATAATAAATAAATAAAAACATGTCGAGATAACACGATTGAAAACTTCAATTATGGCTAGTCAACGGGTTAAAACGGAAGGATGCAACAGAAGAATCCATTTTTTCACGCGTAAATCTCCATTTCTAGAAAAATTGGAGATCTCTATTTCACTTAATAAACATCAGACAGGAAAGGAAAGCTTGATGATATTAAAGATAAAAGTATGATGTGATTAAAACAGGTACTAATTCCTCCACAACATAGTGTCCACACCACACCTTTGAGAAACAAGTACAAAGCAACTTGATTGGATTTTAATATTTAGAACTTGGAATCTTGGCAGCATTTTTCAGGACTCCATTGGTTGCTGAAGAAGCTGGAGTGAAGGCCTTTCGTATCTTAAAGACATTCCAAGCAGTGTTAGCAGCATGTCCTGCAGTTGCAAACACATGCTCAGTAGCTTCCCCTGCGCTTTCTCCAAACCTGTTGCCCAAGGATCATGTATCAAATCAAATTCTAAAACTTACATATTAATATATAATGCAATTTTGTTACTAACAACACTTTATTTTTTCTAACCCTTGTTTTGACCACATGAGAGTTTTGGTATATGGAGATTTATTTAAGGATTTGACATCTTTTAATAGAGTTTTTTTTCATATATACTAGTTTGAAAATTAAATTCCTAATCAAATGCTTAAAAGATGAAATTATCTGTGAATCATGTTGCACTGTTAGTGACACACTGACACACGAGTTATACCAACTACCAAAGGATATGCCACAGTAAATGCCTATATATAGTTTGCATTTGATTGGATTCAAGGGAAAAGTGGAATCAATTATTTGAATTAGGTGCAGTTCATTTTAATGCATCAAGTGGTAATGAGATCCAACTATAAATTTCTGCTATATTGTTCAGCGAGTCAAACGTCCTTTACCTGTTAGATACCATGCTTGATGCAGCTTTGGAGGTGGCAGAAAGAGTTTGTTTTTCAGCAGCTTCAGCTGCATCGATAACCTTGTCTGTAGCATTAGAGAAGAAACAAAGAAGTGATGATGTTGCGGGTTATTAGAAACAAAAGCAATGTTATAAAGTTTTGTTTGACTTGGTTTTACTCACTGACTGCATCAAGAGAAGCCAACAGCACCTCCCCAGGAAGCATCTTTAGGAATGCCCTTCCTTGTTGGGATTTAACCACAGGAGCCATTAGTGACCCACTAACTATACCAACACCATTAAGCAAAGATTTACTTAGCTTTTCTGTCATCTTGGACAGCTTCCTCACTCTAGTATATATGCAAATACAAAACACAATTAATAGTTACTCATTCACAAGTGCACCAAGTAAATTGTGATTTATGTTTCTAGTCACTCTTTGAATACCGTTTGAGGTTTTTATTGATCTTGTTCTTCTTTGAGGCACTGGAAGTGGTGTTGCTCATGCTTTCCCTAGCCACAATACAATTTTTCTCACCTGCAGAACTATTTAGGATCGTTTCTCCTCCTTTCTGGACCTGGTGATTTTTCCACCAATCAAGTTTTAGCCAAAATTTAGTGGTATACTTTACAAATAGATTTTTAGTTGTTTTTCATTCTTTCTTTTTTCATTTTGTTCAACATTATTAGGTCGAAAATACTAGTAATACAATTTGTGACGTACTCTTTTTTAATACATTATCAGTACTTGAAATTCATTGAAAATCATAATTTTGTGAGTCTCATATCTTTTTTAAGAGTTTCAATTTTGATCTTGTAATTTTCAGTAAATTTTAAACAATAATAAATGTTTGAAAAAGTTCGATGCTAATACTCCTCTTTATCAGTCTTTCTGTCACAGTCAGACACTTCTAGCCACAAGAAATTTGAAGGTTTGAGCATCACACCATAAAAAGTAAATAGCATAGGGAAAACACTGAATGGCTCTAGTAATTTAACAAGAGAACAAAACCTTATTGGTGTAAGCATTGCTGCAGATGAAGATGCCCTTCACAATCTGACCAGTCCCTCCAGCAATTGCCTTAGCCAGAAAATGGTTGTAATCATCAACCTTTGGAGCAAACTCCCTCCAATCTAGATTGTTCTTCTTGCTCAATTTCAAGCCAGAAAAGCAAGAGTGGTCCTTTAAAAAAGAGTCCAGCAAACTCAAACTTCCGAAACTAGCTTCTGAAAAGGTCACACCATAGCTGAGAGGCTCACCATCTTTCACAGGCAAAGAAAACAGGTAATGGAGAGCATCAAGCTTCACTACTGGCTCATCCTTTGTCAAAGGCCATTGAAGATCATCTCCTACTTTTATGATTGTAGCCAGAGACACATTCTCTTCCAAGGTTTTGATGATCATGAACTGACCTTGAGCCAGTTCAAGAGCTTCTCCTTCATCCATCAGATAAACTTTACATGTTGGTATTTGTATGAGAACTTCTTGTTTGAGTGCTGAGTATTCTCCAACACTAAGAGGTATGGAGGATTCCATGGATGGCATAGTTGTGGAGCCACGGAAGCAGCACCCCATCACCGGTTTGAGTGCTTTGTCTTTCTTGGGAGCTATATTAATCGAGATAAAGGCAATGGGGAAAGTCTTCGTTGCTGTGGATTCCTTTGTTCGTTGCTTTATTCTGTTCCTGATGACCTTTTAGCTTCCCTCTAACATTATCAAACTAAGTAGTTTTGATAAAAAATAGTAGACTAGGTCTTTATTTTTTGCAATCATTGTGATGATTTAAAATCAGAGTTTAATTTTTATGTAGTGTTATGGAGTATCTTACAAAATAATTATTGTAAACATTAATTTAATTATTATATAAACTAATTTGTGATTACTATAAAACTTTTATATTATCAATGCATAAAATTCTTGCTATTAAGGTTATCAGTAATACAAATTATTTGCATAGAAAAATACTCATTTCAAAACTACAAAGTTTTGATAATTTTAAAAAGGACCCTAAATTCATTTTAAAAAACATCGTTCCAGATAGTTGGTGTTAAGGTGATATGACTTTCGGTGGAATATATTTCATGGAAAATATAGAGACCTTATTGAAAAACGTGCAATAGCATTACAGGTTACAGCTTGCCCCCAGTGTGAAATCAAAGACTTTTTTTTTAATAACCTGTGCATTATTTAATATTTTATTTGTTGAGTATACATTGAAATTTTCACCATGCAATTTTGCCCTCACTTCTTTCCTTTTGCAAGGCACTAATTGTTAGGAATATTAGGCAGTTCAAGGTTCTAGTTGTTTCTTTTCTTTCAACATTTCACCATTTCACAATGTGAGGTTTCTTTTAATTTCAGTTCAATATACTGTTATTTTAAGTTTTATTTGATAATTTTGTAACTTTTCATGTAATTGTTAACGAAGTAATACATCATTAAATGTTGTATCAACATAAAATCAAGTGACTCAGTAAAAAGAATTATATTCAAAGAGGTGACGGAAATAATGTGAATCGGTACCTGTAGAATCTGCAATTCATGATCACTGTATACCATAAATTAAATCATTGAACAGTTACAATTACAAAATCAACCCAAGGGAAAAGATTTGGGCTGAAAACTCATGGATTGAATGGGCAATGAAAAAATGGAACTACAATTCCTATCACACTCTAAAACAATCAATCATGAATGCACCAAACAATAATTGAGATCAATTTGATCTACCAACATCCATGCTTCCCGAGCGAGACAATTTGATGGCTGCATGAAGCTTGTTCCTAGTTATCAAATTTCTTGGGCTGATGCCATTGTGCCAAACTTCTGGACAAAGAACTGAGGAATGACCCTCTAGTAGGCATCCCTTTCTTTCCGTATAAATGTTTTCCTCCCAAATCTGTGAAAACGGGACCCATATCCTTGCTTCTTGGAGTTCTTTCAATCTGCAAAACAATTAAAAAGAAATGGGAATATATTCTGGTTAAGAAAACAGCTGCAGAAGTTCATCTTTTCTTATACAAAACAAGATTCTCCCCCAATAAGGAACTCACAGATGACATAAAGCCTAAACCAACTTACCTTGCTAATTTTTCCATCTTTCAAATAGTACCGAATACCAGACCAATTGATAGATTGAGAAAAATGAGAGCGAAATGCAGAAACAGGGTACAGAAAGTTATCCACCAGCATTGCGATGAACACCTGTTCAAAAGAAGTCACTTTCTAACTTTACCGACTAGTAGCAAGCCTGTTTAATATTTCACATCCTGAATATCATAATATTACATTCATATCCCCAAGTATAAATTTTTCTAACATATAGTTGCAAGTCGCAAAACCATGCATTACTTTCTATTTTATACTCGATCTTAATGTTCAACATGTTTATGTCAATTCTTTATGCGGCAGACCTACATCAATTATTCATGCTTTAAGTTTGATTCAACTTAAAATTATACTTGTTCTTTTTATCAATTTTTAGAATTTGTTGAGTCATAAAATACTACATTGTTTCCCTTGAATTATCATCATTACCTACACAATTTAATTGGCATACCAGGCTGGTGGATAAAGATTTACTCAAAGGAACTCAACTCTACAGTAAAAATGTACAAGACATTCAGGATAAACAATACCTCTCAAGTCTTTCCAAAACATTAAAAAAAAAAAAACCGAAAAATACTTACAAGACACCAATTATAGGAAGCAAGAGAGAGTTGTGGTGCCTCTGGAGACAACATATTGCACAGTTGGACTTCTATCCGTGTCAAGTTCCACATTGAAAGAAGTTCAACAAGAGTGCATATGGCTAGGAAGGTCACCAATGATAACCCTGGAAAAAAGCCACTTATCAAAATGCAAGAACTAATAATGTAAAGCTTAATGGAAAAAATCATCTCAATCAATAATGCAGTTCACCCGTTTGTGTTTACTTTTTGACAAGTCTTGTCTATTCATTGTAAATATGGAAATGTCACCAGCGAAAATGCAACATATAACAATGGGAAAAAGAATGTTATGGTTGGATTTAAATTTCATATCATCCCATTGCATTATTGAAAAAGATAATCCATACCATAAGATAGCAGTAAACATACAAGCCTGGTTTGTATGTTTATATAATATCCCACAGAAGTTAGAAGATAATGAAATCATAAAATAAATAGCATCTATACTAATAATAAAAGGGATATCCCCTTTTGGTGCCCATTTTTCTATTAGAGAATTTTAACCCCAGTTTATACAAACCTTCTCTGATTCTCCCCACAATTCACTCGCTATTGTTTTTTAAACAGCTTGTAGTTACTTTTTTCTCTCCCTCGGAAAAATAATTTTATTTTCAAAAAATATATAGAAGCACACAGTACCTTTTTCCCTCTGGTTCTTATAAAGTGCTTATATAATAAGTATTTTAAATTCTATATAACATGAATAAATTTCACACATGCTGATGAGTAGAGGGCTTCTAACACTGCAAATAAGTTGAACAATAACCCTGATTCAGCATCAGAACCCTGCCAATTTTTATCCATGAATCAACACACTAACAACCTACCTAGAAAAGAAAAGTAGTGTGCTCACCACCAGAAGTGTATGTCATTTCTTCAGGTGAGAACTCTTTACTGTAAAATCTTAATGCTGCAGCAACATGAATCATCGCCATAAGATATGGGGCTACAAATCCCCATGACAAATAGCAGTGGGTAGTAAACAATGCACGATTCATCACCCAATTAACACTTGTTGTATATGACTCCAAAACAAATGTTTGTTTCCTCAAGTAATTCCAATATCTACACATGTTAAAAAAAAAAAATTAAAGCATCAAATATGCAAAGAAAATTTAAGATGAGAAATAATCACAAACCTTCCAAAATTAAGATCACTTGCAAGGGGGTGAGGAAATACGGCAACTGGAGGAGAAGTAATGAGCCTTTTGTGAGCCCCTGTATGATACATTATAATAGTTGTTAGAATATTAGGATTCTTATTCTTTTAGGAGACTTCTTGTTTAGTAGTCTTATTTAGCTGGGCTAGTAATAAAATTCACAACAGTACTATTTGGCCTATATTATTATTATAAATAGGAATGTTAATAGTTAGTAGTTAATAGAAAACTTCACAATCTTATTAATGAAATACACACACACATTCTCTTTTTTCATTCTTTTCCAACTTCTCCTTATAATTTCAATAGCAATGAACAAACACAAAAAATAGGAACGAAATGCTACGGGGAAAAGTAGAAAACCATTAAGGAAAAAAAATAGTCTGTCCTAGTTGAATTACTAGAAGCCCATTGCCTTTCCTTAAAAAGTCAAAAAAATCAAAGAAGAAAATTTTATTGAGAAATTTTTTCATGAATATGGATCTAGCTCCTCTAAAGTGAGAGAATAAAGTGCAATAATAACCATTGATTAAAAAAACAAAGTTTGATATTATAATTAATTTTAAATTTTATTTTGCAAGAATTTAATTTTATCAGAAATCATAATAGTTGATTTTATAATCAACAATTGTAAGAGTGCCCTTTATCTTCTAAAGTGCACACCCTCACTTTAGAAGAGTCAAATCCTATATATATATATATATATATATATACACAAACACATGTGTGAGTGGAGCAGTCTCTTGCACAATGAATTTAATTAAGAAAATATTACCCAAAAGTAAAATACTTCCACACGACGTAAGTTTTCTGCAAATTGGGCATAAACGAGCATCAAAAAAGTACAAGAAACTACTCTTACATTTGTCAAATGTCCAATACAGATAAAGTTGTTGTATATGACGAAAAAGAATTAGCTCCTCCATGGATCAATTTTCAATTAATCATAATTTTCAATGACCAATACAGATAAAGTTGTTATATATGATGACGAAGGGTATATAAAAATCATTTGATAAGAGAACCAACAATGTACCTGATATGGCTGCAAGTGTCATGTCATCAGAATATCCACCATCTTTAAGTCCTGAGACTACACCATAACGATCTTGCCTAAAGTCATCAGCATGCATCTGGAGAAAAGATAAATAGTTAAAACATAAGTTTTCCTCAAAGCATCAACTAAGGGGGAAAAAAAAAATAATAAAAATAAATAAATAAAAGGTAAAAGCTACTTACCATCATGCACCCTCCCCACAGAAAAAATGTTTTTCCACCAGTTGCAAAGCCCATTGAACAAGGCTGTGAAATAATAATAATAATATTATTATTAATTATAAAAGTAAAAATAATATTAAACTGTTATAATTAAATCTTGTCATATATTATGATTTAAGAAAAACCTAAATGAAGAGTTATTTAATAAATTCTTAAATTAAAGTAAAATCAATTAGCAAAGTTTCATTTGAAGGTTTTATATATTTTGTACCAAATGGAAAATAAAAGAAAACACAATTTTATAACAAACATGTGGTGCAGAGATTGAAGGTATAAAGCCAGAGGAGCTTGTGTACCATATGGTATTCATAGATGCAATAACTCCCCAGGCTTCCAGATGGCAGATCAAGAGGATATCCGGTTTGAATAAATATCTGTTAAGCATCAAAGCAGTTAAGACCCTAATAAAATAATTCAGAGAAGTGAAATCATAATTATTCTAATTAAACACTTAAAAAGAATAACAATAAACAAATTTTAAGTTAGACCTCGGGGTTCTTTTCCATCTCACGAGTGAGTGCTCCAATTGATCCAGG